AGCCGAAGAAAAATCAAAAGTCCAATGATATTGACTACGAAAAACGCGTTAACAAAACGTAGCCAAAACCGCCGCCAAAACGCTGTACAACTACGCCAGACCTACGCCAAATATATAGGAGGCTCAATGACCTTCGCCTTCTAGAAAATGAAGGTCAACTGGTAAAATTAGCAGCCTCACTTCCAAAACTCCGTATGCTAATGATCACGTGAAGGAATGGAAGGTTCCGGAATCTTCGAAATCAATGCACGATCAAAGATAATGGATTAATTGCTAAAATAATGGGTTTTCGTTTATGTTTTTACCTTTTCCCGGATAAGCCGGACCCAAATTGACCATATTGTCTTCAGCTACAGATGGCGCAAATCTGTAAAAAGACTGTCGATGAATTTGTAGTATGTGTTCGGATTTCGATTGTGCTATAGTGCGCGCGCGCTTGGCGCTCACTTTCACCGCTTCAATGAAACGCCCATCTTCTTACCTTACCTGTAACTGTAACTCGCAGTCTGCATTTTAACAATATCATGGCTAACTAGCCCACCAAATGTCAGTGATGGATGAGGTTGGTGAGCCGAACGCTGACTGGGATCTTCTCAAATGTCACTTGAATAGTGCTTTTGACACCTGTTGTGCGCCCAACTTGAGACGTCATAACTGACTGTATCACCGAACTATCGATCAGTTTGATCGGAACACAGAAACAGGTTCCGATGGCAATGAGTTTCAACCTGCCTGCAACTGCCTGAAACGACGTCTGACAAGGAGTCTTCGAGTCGACCGGGAACGTTGGTGGGTGGCAATGGTAAGTGAGATGGGAAAGGCAGCGCTATTGGGAACACCTGAGTACTTTTATTGCCCATCCGAAACACGGGTTCGAAAAAGCTATCAGTTAGGGAGACAATAGCTGAGAAAGACGGACAGTTGATTCATTCTCAGCTTCGTCGACTGGCCCGATGGACGGAACATTTTGAAGAGCAGTTCAGCAAGCCCGCTGCGACACTGCCGCTTGCTGAATTGTCTGAGCCGACATCGGAAGTAGATGTCACATCTACTTTGGAGGAGATTCGACATGAGCTTTCCGTGGTGAAACAGAACAGGGCTCCTGGACCCGACAAACATTTTTCATCTTTGCTGCAAGGTAGAGGTCGCTGCATATTGAGTGAACTTCCCTCGCTATTTAACACTATTTGAGACACTGAAGAAGTGCCTTCAGACTGGCGATTATCAACTGTCGTGCCCATCTTCAAGAAGGGTCAGTGCACACTGTGCGAAAATCAACGATGCATTAGCCTTATTTCCATTGTCTCCAAACGTCTCATGAGTATCATTCTCCGACGGTTTATTAGTGTCCATGAGAACCGAATCACTAAAAGCCAGGCTGGCTTCCGCCCTGGTCGTGATTGCATCGACCACATATTTACTCTTCGCCAGGTGTTAGAGCATGGACAAACGTACAGAGGATCGACAATGGTGGTTTTCTTTGACTTGAAAGCCAACTTCGACTCCGTTAACCGCACCAGCTTGTGGCACTACTTATCCATGAAGGGCGTGGAAGCTAATTGCTTTTCCATTCTGATCTCACTCTACCCTGATTCCTGAGGCCACGTAAGGGTCTATGAAGAATCGTCGCCTGAGTTCCCCACGACAAGTGGGGTTCGCCAGGGTTGTGCTATAGCTCCTTTCCACTTTAACGTTGTTATGGAAAATGATCATGAGTGACTTGGTTTTTTCACACTCTAGCGGAGTGGAAGTTCTACCAGATGACCGACTGATAAATCTGGAGTATGCAGACGACATAGCTCTCCTTGGGTCTGACGCAGTGGCTATGCCAACACTGTGGATAGACCGACGCATAGCGCTGCACACTTCGGCATATGTATTACACCTTCAAAATGAAAATTACTGTTGCAGAACTGGACCGACACACCTCCAATTTTAGCTATTACCGAACAGGCACTGGAAGTGGTGGATCAGTCCACTTACCTCGGTAGCCGCGTCACCTCGTGGTCACATCACTGATTGGGTTACTTTGCGTAGCAACAAGGCTCGTATGGCTTCCCAGAGACTAAACAATTTATGGAGACGGCGGGATATCAGCTCGTCAGAGGAAGGTAGAGTGTATAACGCTGCGATAAGACCAGTGTTACTGTATGGATCAGAGACCTGGCCAGTTCGTAGCGAAGGCATTAAACGCTTGGTCGTGTGTGACCACCGGTGCTTACGGAGTATTGTACACGTCTGGTGGGAACATCAGATGAGCAATGCTGAGGTCCGCCGCTTGGTTTTTGGCAAGAAGCTTTCTGGAGCATCACTCGAGTGTTTGCTGAATCTTAATCGCTTACGCAGGCTAGGCCATGTCCTCCGTGTGTTTACTGATCGGCTTCCTCGGCGTGCACTATATGCCGTAGCCGCACCAAGTTGGGCGAATCCATGACTTGGCAAAGGAAATTGAAGAAATTGACCGAGAGACTTGGGTAGGCTGGTGCATGCCGTCATCGTGGATGCGGGCCCTGGGATAGTCCACACCAATGGTTGGATAACCGTTCAGACAAGCGCAGTCACGCAGTCGGTGGCGCTCCCTCATTCGATTTCTTGCATCTGGTTGTTAACTCTAGTTCCCTTTTGATTAGTATAACACACCGGCTTCTAACTCCTACTTTACTTACGCGTTAGTTTGCATCCAACCGCACCAAATTGTCGTTGTTATCTATTGTTATCTTACGACGTGAGTCGTGACAACTGGTTCCACCACACTTTGGTGCTCGGATCATAGCTATTTAACAGTACGGAAGTGAACAATGTGGACCATTACTGAATGAAGGTTAATGAGTGTACTTTAGAGGTGTTCCTAAGCTTTTCTGTCACTCATACACAGATTTCCTTAGAGGATTAATCAGTGCTCAATAAGGAGAAAATAGGATTTTGGTGTAGGCTGTATGGATTTTATGGCATATGCTATCCATAGATTGCCTAGCCCGTGTTATTTAATATTCGGCCTACTCTGAATAATCAAAGTTGGAAGAGGATCGTTGGTGGATATGTAGCAATGAGGAGTCGTACAGTTGATACAGTTGATACAATTTTTAGTGTTGAACAACCACAACTGCATAAAAGCAGCGAATGGAAAGCGCTGTCCGCATATTGCGTCCCTGCTAACAAACCACCAAATACACATAAATAATATCCCAGGTGGAGACATCAGAACAAGAGCGAGCGAACAAGCTCGTTTTCGGTGGATATCGTCAGGCTGGTACACCACCACTCATAAGAATAAAATGAGTTAAAACAGGCGGGAGTAAAGCTCAAAGGGTAAAAGTAAAAGGTCTAGGTCACCTAAATGACAAGGTCAAGTGTTTGGTTCACAAACGATCAATGACATGTCAGTTGCATGTTTCTCAGCAGGGGTTACTGTAATAGGGGGCCGGGGAAGGGAGAGAATCTGAACGAATTGTTTTTGTGCACATAGATCGGGGTTCTGGAGGCAGATAGCGATCTCTTCGGCTGTTGCTAATAAGTGACATCTTACCGCTCGTGTGTAGCATCCAGATTTGCGGTAAATTGGATGAATATTTTGCTGCCTATCTATCTGGTGGTTAAACTCAACCTCATTTCTTTAGTTCCAACTGCACTCAGCCAACTCAGGCAATGCTCACGGATTCTCTCAGACAGTCTCTTGGTGGTTCATCCGATATAATTTGCTCAACATGAACAATTAAATGACTATACACAAAAAGAAGTACTTGACTGAGGACGTCTGTCCTTGAGTTTAAACCTTACGACTGGTGTTGAAGTAAATCTTAACCGTAAGCTTGCCGCGTAGTACGTACGGTTCATGGCGTCGGATAGCCTTCTAGACGTTGTCTGCGCTATTCCATCCCCTTAGAACGGCAACGACAGATGAACCAATTTATTTTCAACCGAATCGGTTTTAGCCCTCGATTCTCGGCACTCCATATTTCTCAGAACAAATTTTTCGGGATACCCGTTTTTCTCATAAAGGCCAGCTAAGAAATTCAACTCGTCCGGAAGCGTGTCCTCACTACATATACTTCTTGCCCTTTCGGTTAAATATCGAATCAAGTCCCGCTTCTGGCCTAGTGGGACAACGCTGGCAAAATGTAGGTATTGTCCATTCCACGTGGCTTTCCTGCGCACCCTGCGTTGGATCGACCCATCTGATCTTCTGCTAAGTTGGACGTCTAGGAAAGACATCGTACGATGACGTTCAGATACCAGGGCAAACTTAGCGTTGTCGTGCGCTTAGTTAAAAAGGGATAAAATTTGCTCTGAGCATCACAGACTGTCATACAAAATATATCATCTACATGTCGACCATAATAGGGTAAGACGCTAATGACTCCGCTCAGGTAGTTGTTTTCTAATTTGCTCATGAATACATCTGTCAGCAGCGGTCCTAGTGGTGAGCCCATCGCTACTCCGTTCTTTTGTCTGTATATTACCCCATTAAACTGAAATTGTATGTTGCTAGTATACAGCATGAGTAGCTGTTTCAACTGTATGTTCGAAAGGCCGATAACATAAAAAAACCGGATCGGTCCGCGATAAGAACGGGTTATTTTTTGACACACAATAACCATGATCTCAGAAACTAAAACCGATCTACATTCCGACGATAGAAGTTCACTCCGAGCGTTCGGTGACGATCGCACACATGAGGATCTAATGATCTCAGGAGCTGCGAACCAAGTCAAAAAGCATGTTGGTTTGCTAACATTACTTGGTGATTCTCCATTACGTTCTCTCGTCATAACTGAAACACTAAGGAAAGCTAACAGGTTCAGCAACAGACTGGATAGAAAACAATCTGTGGGCTGAGGAGAGCCGTGATGACATTGACAACTGGCTGGATTGGAAAGTTGTTCAAAGATCACGTAGCACCACCATAGAAACAGTGAGGCAAATTAGGACGGTATTAAAACCAATAGACAACTAATTATTTGTGCATCACCCACATGTGAAATCAGAAGCCCATAACTTACGATGGTGAGTTGATTTGCGAAAAACAACGAGGCGTCCGTGAGTCGGGTGTGGGCAGAAATGATACGCCGCCAAGCGCTTGCTCATCTCGATGCCCCAATTTATTCGCGGGATCTGGAGGTTCGGATTTCGGAACACGATGCGTATGTAGCAGACGGTGACATTGGGATTTCATCGCAAAGACGGCGGACGCACTGGGCCGGTCCATGGCGGAGGATCCGCCGTCGCTCTGTTCCTCCTCATCGCTGAATAAATCGCGTAAATCTTGATGGAGTGACTAGATACAGAAGTTGTGTGAGAAAGAATATGCTTAGGATGTTTTAAGTCAATAATAACGATCATATGGTATGTTCTCGTCCTGATGGATATGCCCTTTAAAGCATTGTTAATATTTTAGGATAGGATCTTAACCACGCATCAACAGGGTGGCGTAATGTAAAAGAAAAGAAAGAAAGGTAGCAGCAGTACGCCGGTACGCTGTACTGACACTTCGCTGTCGCGCAACCACCCCCAGTCGTGCGTGGGTAAAGAATACTGCGAGCGTCGCCCGGTCCACTACGCATGCTAGAAGCCACGACCACCGGATTACAAGAAAGACTTCTAATCCTTGAAGCCACGGGCTGACATGTAAGAAAAAGTGTGGTTATATAATGAGGAGTGCTTTCTGGGCTTCAAGTTACCCGGTATTCACAGTAAGACAAGAAAAAGTAACGGTTGCCTCCAAAAAGCAGCCATGATGATGGAAAGAATGAAAAAGTTAACACAATTCTATAGAGGTGGGAAATTGAGCAGTAACGACCGAGAAGGAAATTACAGCCAAACACACCAAGGGAGACCTAAATTTGTACCATAATGCGAGGCTTGTCTGCTCATAAAGCCAGCTAAGTGAGAACACATGCTCGTCGTGTGGTGGTAAATAGATTCTTAAAGGAAAGGCTTTTTAGGAGCTGGGGACACACTGTTGGGAGGTTTGTTCAGCGATTTCACAAAATCTTGCGCAATGGGTACAAACGTCCGTACAAAAACAGCAAATAATAAGAGACCAACATAAATGTAGGGGACGAATAACCACATATATAAGAATGCTGGCCACCACAGTTTATTGACCATCGGGTCCCATCAGCAACCTCATTGGAGGGTAAAAATGTTCTAGAAGTATCGGGACCAGCTTACCAAACAACGCAACGGATTAATGTACTGCTGGAAAGCAATTCTGAAAAACTTTGCCACCACAAATAGTTTAGCGGCATAAGTCGCTGGCATCGAGCAGTCATGAGCTTGATTCATGGTGGTGTCGGTTGATACGTGTTATTACCGTTCCCATCGGTGTAGGAGAAACTGTCTGGCTGCAGGGGATGATACTGACGAACCATCTTAAGGCGGAATCAGAACAACTGTGGTCGAAAGCGGAAGTGGCAATGAAGAGTTAGCTGAACTAGTAAACGAATGAGTAGGGGACTTTTTGTGCAATTTACAAGGAGCTTCTCGTAACAGATTGCAAATCAGATAGTAGTCCAGATGCCCGAAAAGTGTTAGGCAGCCGTTTCGACCTAGTGGGTTTTATCAGTAGTGTGCATCTGTCGGCTGCATCAGGATCCGAACCCATGACCACTGGCGGATTGCATCGCAAGGCAGCAACAAATGCCACCAGGCCATGGGGGATAGCAGCGAAACGTCAAGATTTGCAAGCCAAGTGCGATATAGCGCGACTCATGGTCCAGAGTTATGTAAGTTGCGAGCGATGCAGAAGATAGGGTTCGTGCCGAGAGACACAACAAGCAACAAGCATTTGTCAGGGCAAAAGGTCTCCTTGTTTCTTCACCAGTCTTGGTACATTACGACCCCAACAAACCCGTCATCCTACAGTGTGGTGCTTCACCTTTTGGAGTCGGGGCAGTGCTGGGACATAAAGGCCACGACGGAACAGTTCGCCCTATTGCTTTCGCGTCCCGCACATTACAACCTGCTGAGAAAAATTACGCACAATTAGACAAGGAAGTACTGGCTGTAGTATTCGGAGTAAAGCGGTTCCATCAGTACTTGTGGGGCAACCAGTTCGAGATACAGACTGACCATAAACCACTGTTATCACTTCTCGGTAAGGAACGAGGCACAGAACAACTTAACGCACCCCGAATGGTACGGTGGGCCCTCCTACTTTCTGCTTACAATTATCAAATCCGATACATTGCCGGTCCTCACAATAATGTCGCTGATGCGCTCAGTAGATTGCCACAGATTGGCCAACAGGAGGAAAGAAGTGACGCGCCCTACGAGTTTGTTCAACTTTTGCAACACCTGAATACTACACCCATATCTCGCGACATGGTTAGGAAAGCTACAGACAGAGATCCCGTTCTATCGACTGTGAAACGTATGCTGCTGCGTGGCTGGGGTTCGCGAGCCCCTGGTGATCTGCGTCCGTTTTTCAATTGTAGATTTGAGCTGAGCCTGCATGAAGAATGTATCCTACGTGGATCTCGCATCGTTATTCCATTGACTCTCAGGTCAGCTGTACTGAAAGAATTACATGATGCACATCCAGGTATTGTCCGCATGAAAGCCCTCGCCAGATCCTACTGCTGGTGGCCAGCGATTGACCGAGACATCGAAGCACTTTGGAGTACTTGTAACACATGCCAAAAATATCAAAGAGATAATCCAACAGGCCCAATTCACCCTTGGCAGTTGCCCGACAGCCCATGGGAACGTGTCCATGCCGATTACTTTGGCCCGATCGAAGGAAAAATGTTGCTACTTTTAGTAGATGCGTACTCCAAATGGATTGATGTGCATGTTGTTGCAAACGCTACTGCAGAAGCTACAATCAATGGCGTACGCTCTAGTCTATCTACACATGGCATACCGAAAACATTAGTCACTGACAACGATCCGCAATTTACGAGTGCAGCGTTCAAAGAATACCTGCAGAGCAACGGCGTTCATCACATGACTTCCGCACCGTACCATCCAGCGTCAAACGGTTTAGCTGAAAGAGCTGTCCAAACCGTGAAAGCTGGTCTTCTAAAGCAGCGTAATGGCTCGTTACGAACCAAACTTGACCGATTCTTGTTCGCATATCGGATCACACCGCTAGTCTATCGGAAAGAGCCCTGGGGAGGCAATGTTTGGGCGTCGACTACGTATGAGACTAGACCCACTTTTTCCAGACCCTCGTCAAACCAGGCGTTGATCAAGTACGTATGCATGAAAGTGGACGCGCACCAGTTAAGCCCCAGAAGTCGATAGTGGAACGTGATGTTTACACGAAACTACCACATGAGCAGTTATGGCAGCCTGGCACCGTGCTTACGAGCCACGTATGACAAAGCGTCCACTTGATCAACTGAATTCGGTTGTCATGAATCCACTCACAAGACAATGATCACAAGAAAAATAAAAGCATAGAAACAAACTTATAAGGTGGAGCAGTTAGCAGCCGAAAATAAAAGGTGAGAGCACCACCGGCTGATCCTGATCTGCCTGTCCGTGAGCCAAGAAGGCAACACGCATGGACTTGTTGCAGCTTTTGGGTGAGTTTTTTCTTGCTTTGTAGCCGTGTCACGGAGAGCCACTTGATAGCATTCAATGACGTGCAGTATTGATCAACAATGCCTACTGAGACAGGAAGGTTGCAGACACGAGGAAGATTTGATCTAGTCAGAATAGGACGATCGAGATCGATGGACACTTCAGTGCGTCGACCGAGTTCGCTGTTAAACAACAACAGATATGATCAACACATCGTAGGTATCGCTTGGCAAACACAACCAGCCACTCAAAGACCCCAGTGCAAAATGACCAGATCTCTGAACATATATATATATATATATATATATATATATATATATATAGATTACCGGCAGTCTCTAAGTTAGACATAGAGCCAACGAAAAAAGTGAAACAGAAGTAATAAATACTGAGGCCACAAAGAAAAGAAAGAAGGTTGCAAAAAACGTTTTTTGGATATTGCTTTTTTTCACACGCCGTTTCATGTTTTTTGCCTGTTTAACGTTTGCGATGCAAATCAAGAAAATTAAGACAAACATTTGTACACATTTTCCATTGGGCCCGGTTCTATGCCATCTCCGAAAGAATTTCAAGCCAGCGGTTCCTTTTTGATCCCCCAGCTCGGAAGACGCACAGGACCTACGACGCGTTTACAGATCCTCAAGGAACTGCATGATGCTCATCCAGATGTGGCAAGAATGAAAGCTTTAGCAAAAGGGTACCGTTGGTGGCCCAAAATCGACTCGGATATAGAAAACTTGTTGAGGAACTGCGATATATGTCAGGCTCATGAACGTAACAAACCATCCGGTCCAGTGCACCTTTGGCGTTGGCCCAACAAGCCGTGGCAGCATATCCACCCTGACTACTTCGGACCGATTAACGGGACAATCTTCCTCTTACTTATTGATGCGTGTTCTAAGTGGATTGATGTACACCCAGTTGGCTAAGCGACGTCTGAAGCCCCTATTATCAAAATGCGCTCATAATTTGCCACGTTTGGTATACCAGAAACTTTCTGCACAGACAATGGTTCACCTTTTATCAGTATTGAAATCAATAAATCTGTAACCAATAATTGAATCCAGCGTCGTATCACTTGGTATCGAACGGGCTAGCAAAAGGTGCCGTACAAACTGTAGAACAAGCGCTACAGAAGTAGCGAGCAGGAGCCTTGCAAACAAGACTGGATCGCATCCTATTCGCCTACCGTTCTATGCCTACTACTACCGGTAAATCCCCTGCGGTATTGATGTTCGGCAAGAATCTTAGGAGGAGGCTTTAATTGTTGTGCCCAAACACGCGTGCTGGAATAGGGAGTCAAAGAGGGAAGTTACATTCAGGGAAAATCAACCAATTTATACCCGATTACAGCATGAACAATGTTAGCAGCCGGTAACCGGAGAATCAAAACGACTTGCAGTTTCAGGACAGGTGGATCGTCCGCCAACATTCTGATCACATACGCGTCCGAGGCACTGACACACCAGCAGAAACGCAGGCTAGCCTCTATCTTGACATAGAGCAAGTATCGGTAGGCGAAGAATCTACCAATGAAATCTTACTTCAGTGGCTGAGCCACATTCGCAAACTGAACGAAGCTAAATTGTGACGGTGAGGGATGTGGCGAAGTGACCTAACGATCATCGAGTACGCTTCTTACTCTGATTGGTCTATTGGAAACCCTTCCGCAAGCATGCATACATACCCTTCTTCAATCTTGGTAACTTGAATCGCGTCAGAGATTGGCTACACTGTCAGTCGTAGGCACGCTGTCGCCTACTTCTTGGAGCGAGGCGTGACAAAATCACAGGAATGTTTCTCAGCTTCAAGATAATATTTCACACAGTCAATATATATAACAGTCAACACGGCCAATAGTACAATTGGCATAGTGTCACAAGCTATGGAAAATACAGTAAACATACGAAGATAGAGAGGGAAAATCCGGTGTTCATGGGAATAGTGAGTCACAACAAGTCCGCCCTTGTGCACAATTTCTTGCCATATCCGAGAGCGTTTCCAGCCAGGTGTGTTCCGGATCTTTCAGACTCCAGCCAGTAGTAGTAGTAGTAATCTCAGCAGTCTATCAACTAGACAACCAGTCTATCAACTAGACAAAGACAAAAACCCCAGCCAGGGAGCCGAGGGCGCCCGACCATGGCTAACGTTGACGTTAGCTCTTTCAGGCTCCTTTCCAAGACATACGTTCGACCCCATGCTTTCCTTTCCATCCGACTTCTGCGTACGCGAAGGGGACACGGCGAGGTAAGCGATGAGTCGGCATGCGGAGAACGTGCCCAAGCCACTGAAGTCTGCGCAGAGAAATTATAGTGTTTAGTAACCAGCAAAATTAATATGATCTGAAAATCCTTCGTCGAATATCTTCATTCCTAGTTTGATGTTACCATCGTACACCAGCAATGCTCCGAAGGCAGCAGTGATCGAAAACAGACAGCCTCTCAACATCCTTTGCGCGAACAGGCCAAGTCTCGCAACCAGAGAGAAGAACCACTCTCACTGTGGCATTGTAAACTAGACCCATCAGAGCTAGACTCAGATCACCTCGGCGCCAGAGATGGCGGAGCTTGGCAAAAGCAACCCGAGCCTTGAAGACGCGTAGAGAGACCTCATCCGCTCAACCATTAGCGCTGATGCAGCTTCCGACGTAAAGGAACTTGTCCACCACTTGCAATGAATTACCTAGAAGGGTAAGGTCATGAGCAGCGTCTGGCCAGTCCCGCAGGAAAACCTTGCATTTCGATGGTGCGAAGGTCATTCCAAACTGGGAGACAGATATCTCCAGCCTACACACAGTCAAAGATCAGGATGGGGCATCTGGTTAGCTCACGTGCACTTGTCCGTTTATTGAAAACGCCTAAGAAGACACAAACAAGGCGCTTTTAATTGTGGATAAAAGATGCGTAGAGGTGTGAGAATTGGCGAGCTATCATATGGCACAGTGGTGTACCAACGTGATATGTAAAAGTGTATGACTTGGCAAGCAAGATAAGAAGTGTGGCACGAGAAGTGCTAATGGTAGCAACAACTACTGCAGTTGGATTAAATTCGGAAGATCTTTTGAATCAAATCGCTTTTTACAAGCATGTATTGCGGGTTGATTATACAGATGATGCACTCGTTTGGAGTGACAATTGAGTAAACGTCAAACGCTCCATGATATGCGACGTGAGCAGAAAGTGTAGTTTAGATGTGGTACTAGGTAAGGTGGGAAGCAAAGAAAAAAAAGCTTACAATACCTCCGCATCAACCGAGAAATAGGGGCGTGACAAACTGCCTACGCCCAGTAAGGGACCAGTGAGAAACCATGTAGACGCCTGAGTAGGCAGCAGATACTACGGCTTAGGTGTGGAGAAACAACGTGTGGAATGACCACGAAATCATTGGGTGAAGATAGTATATAAGTCAAGGAACGGGTCTTCTTACTTTGGCCTCCATTTTAGACACCCGCACAGCTCGATCATCACGTAGCTCATCGATAAAGTCCTCTCGACTGACCTTGTCCAACTCGGCCATGACATCGAATTCGGGATCGTTAGGATCATCGTCGGCATCACTCTCGGTATTAAGAGCAGGATGGTTGGGCGAGTGGGCACATGGTGGTGGCGTCGAGTCTTGTTGCGCAGTCACAAGACAATGTGATGAGTTGGAGTAATCAGATTGCTTGCAGGGAGTATCGTTCTGATAAACACGGGGCAACAATAAGCGCAGCCAATCAGTTAGTGCCAACAGACAAAGATTGAATGTGAATAAAAGATGACGGCAAGGTTAGAAGTCATGGTGAACGACCGGTTAATGTATTTGTTAGGTGCATGACGTTTCGCTTTTGACACAAAACCGAAATTCCTGTGTTAATAAGCTGAGGATGGCAATGAGCCCATGCGGCGGACACGGGACCCACAGAATCCATACTTAAGCCCAAAGAGAAGATAATGGATTTGCAATTGGAGGTTTAGGATATCGAGCTAACCATAGCATCATCACTGAATGCAGTGGTGACTTCGTCAGAGCGTAGAGATAAGTGATGTTCCTTGCAAAAACAAGTCGCTACATGTATTTCGGACCTCACAAGATGTGATCTATCCTGATTCGTAGCTTAGTGCAGTACTCAGGTAGACTTAAATGGATGTTGTTAGGCTCATGATAATTGTTGTAACACGGGCATGATAAAGGCAACCTCACTGTTCAAAATGGTTTGCAATACTAGTAGCTAGGGTTGACGATTTAGCCGCTGTTGTTCGCCGAGCTTGGAAATTTGGTTGCAAACGTTTTCTCACCAATTGATGTGATATCATCAGTGCAGAGTTGAATGTAGCTTGGTCGCGAAAGCTTGTACCAGGCAAATCCAGGAATGGGTGTTATAAGGATACAGTCCAGATACACCTGATGAGATCCAATCGATCCATAGATTCGTAGTCAGATATAGTGTTAAAGCATCACAGACATCTTAGCATACCCAGGTGACCAGCATCAGAGACGCACGCACTGCTCGGAGAAGCCAATGTAAGGGGGGGGGGCAGTCGCCAGTGATTTACCCTAGTGCATTGGAAGCCATTCCATTTGGAAGTAGAACGCACAGATAAGCAGCCTGACTGAGGGATCATAATACCTAGTCTTGACGGTACGAGGGGGAGATGAGCAGTCATTAGATTGTCACTATGAGGGCTCTCGAGCTGCAATCATTGGAAGCGTACACCGGAAAGGATGCTACTTGTTCAGACACTGTCGATTCACTATGTGGAGGTCACAGACTTCCTGCGACTTATGAAAGACATGAGGCCTCTTCAAATTGTGGTGCAGTGAGTAGAATAGAGGCAACGCGAAAGCCTCGAGCCAGTGGATTGACGTCACCATGGACGGGACACGTAAAGTCGTCGCCAATGAAATGCGAATCGGGAAATCGTAAACCGTTTAAGTACAGAACGTTTTGCACGCGTGGTTTACAAATGGAACACACGTTAACTCTGAATAAGTGTAGTGTGAGAGCCAGCATTGTTTGTTGCTCGATCTGACGAAATGTGAACGCTCTAAAAATTAGTGTGAAATGTGACTCGATCTGATAGTCGAGGTAAGTAAATCTGTTATAGATTGAGTAGATTGCCTTAGTCGTCGCCGCTGTTATAATTGAGGGAACGCCGCCTCTTGAGATAATTGCGTACTTGCCTGATAAGAGGGTCGCTGGCACGCCTACGATAATTGCTTGCTACGCTGACCACTCGAACGGAATTGCGCTGTCCTGATGACGCTGGCTTAGCCGGTGAGGCGGATAATTGAGCGAGCTTGCTAACGATCCTAGCCGCACGTGTTCGGATAGACGCCGAGCCTCGGACGGACGCAGACGAGAGGGGGTTTACGATAGACGCGCTCTAATGGCTTAGACGCGAAGGCTGGCCAGCTAACGATGCACACGCAATCACGCGATCCGACCGACTCCCAACTGAGGCGAAGAGAAAGAAAAGACAAGTGGTCCTCTGTAGGCTCTTTTACGACCGACAAAGGGCAATCACAGAGAGTGCTATGGGTTATTAAGTTAAGGAAAACTGTCACCACGAAGAGGTGGTAGTTTGTAAATGACCATTGTCAGAAGGTGCGCAGTTTGGGCCGCGTCTCGGAGTGGCTGAGCTCTGCTGCGTTGTGGGGAGGAATTGGCCCTCGCTTTCCACAGCCATTCTGCTGGGGTTTCTGGCGCGTTTTTGCGGGAATATTTGACGTGCCCGCAACACCTCCCTTTGAAGAGAAAGCGTACCGCTTCTGGCAAGGATTGACCTGGAGGGATTTCGGTGACCTCCGGATTCTTTCTGTTCGTCGGCAAGGTGGGTTTTCGAGACGCGGCGTCGATTGAGCGGCTTCGACCGTGGTCTCCCGTTGTGGAGCCATTCCAAAGGTATCCAGCAGGATGTGCAGCGGCAGGTGCACGGGATGGCTGGCTGGCGTGGAGGTTTCTCCGTGGCGCGGACCAAGTTGATTGCGATGGCGAACCCAGGTGTCATCACTCACGGAGACATCATGCAGCATGTCACCTCGCCTGGCTGTCACTGTTGCTTTGATCCAGCGAGGATGACCGGCTCGATAATCGCGAGCGTAGACTGGGGCTCCAACGACGAATTCTTTATGCTGGATGTAGGCACCAGAGTGACTAGGTGGCTTCTCAGTTGGGATGAGCGCTTCGTTGATTGTGCGTAGCTTGCGGCCCATCAATGCTTCAGATGGTGACTGGCCTCCTGGCGTAGCTGGATTCGGTGTGGACCGGTACGAGAGCAGGAAGGCTTGAAGACACTCATCCACGGTCCCCTCCCCGAGAGATTTCAAAAGCGCTCTCTTGAATGTGTCGACAAATCGCTCCGCTTGACCATTGGATTGGGGATGGTAAGGCGGTGAGCGGAGGTGTTCGATGCAGTGTCGGCGACAAAACTCTTCGAAGATGGAAGAGGTAAACTGGGTACCATTGTCGGACACCAAAACCTCGGGGAGGCCATGTTGACTGAAGATTCGTTGGAGACAAGCCAGAGTGGCGGATGCGGTTGGTGGGTTGACGGCGACCACTTCCGGCCATTTGGAATAGGCGTCGACCATGACCAGGTAGGAAATGCCATCGATGGGACCAGCGTAATCGATGTGCACTCGAGACCACGGTTTTGCTGGCGGATGCCAAGGAATCGGGGATTGGTGTGGTGGCATCTTTGAGGCTTGTTGACAATCCTGGGACACGGGGTCGGATTGACTGGCTTCGTCGTCGGTTCGGTCGTTTGGTACTGGCGGGGAATGTACCGCCTTGCAGATGGTCCGAAGAGGAAGATCGGCCAAGCCAAGGGTTTCGAGCCAGTCGAGACCAAGCACGTTGAGCTTCGCCTGTGTGATGTAGCAGATCGCGTTGAACGTGGCGCTCCGGAAGGAGACGGAGCAGTGCAGCTGCCCAGTTAGCTGCACGCGACCACCACAGGCGCTAGTGGCAGATTGGGAGGTCGGTTCGAAAGGTGGCTTGCCAAGGGATCGCCAGAGATACTCGGAGATGATTGTGATGTCCGACGCAGTGTCCAACTGCAATCGGACCGACTGACCATTGATCAGGACGTCGAGGAACTTTCTCCGATTCGCAGCGTTGATTTGGAACGTGGCCAGCAAGCTCAGGGAGCTGCCAACCGGACCAGGTTTGGGTGTGCGCCTGGGTCGGGACCTCTTCTTTGGATCGCGGGTGGGGGCCAGCCCAGTTTTGGCCCCCTTGAGAGATGGAGGATGGCAGTAACCATCCCGGAGCCCCACACTGCCACAACGTTGACAACGATGCTGGCGGAGCTGGCAGTCGCGGTGGAAATGCCAGGCACCACAGAATCGGCACGCGTAGGGTGGGGACTTCGCTCGGTCGGATTGGGTGGGGCGCGCGGACGATTGCGCCCTCGGTGCTGTGACTGCCTGGACCATACCAAATGCGACGGCGTTCTGGATCATGGCAGAATCGTGCTTCAGGTTGAGCAGCGTTTGACACTCCTCGGCCAAGGTCTGGAGTGTGACTGATCCATCCTGTTGTAGCTTGGACAGGAGGCGCGTCCGGATATCGGCATCGTGTGAAGATTGGAGGCCAGAGACGAAGATCAGGCATTTGAATTGGTCTTCGGTGAGCGAGCCAAGTTGAAAACGTTGGCATTCACGGTTGACCATTCCCGCGTACGTGATGAAGTCGTCGGCATCACGTTTGACCAGCTGCAGACATTGATAACGAGCATTGAACAGAGAGGACTGCTCGCCAAAAATCTGTGACAACGTTCGGACCGTCTCGTCAAAGGTTACCTCCCGTGGGTTCCTCGGCAAGATAAAATTGGTGTAGCGCTGGTTTTCGAGGGTACCAAGTTTGCGCAGAAGCAGGCGGACCTTCCACGCGTCGTCCTGGCAAGCAAAGTCAACGATGAACAGGTCCTCGTACCGCTTGTACCAGGATTCGAACGTTACCCCGGCCTGGGCGTCGTACAGGAATTCGCTGATGCCGCTAACCACATAGTCCATTGACTGAGAACTGGCGCTCGGACCTGCATGAAGGGAAGAACTGGAAAGTTTTTCGGTTAGCGCGGACATCAATTTAAGCTGTTGGTGCAGCATCAATTTTAAATCGGCACATTCGTCAATCATGGTATCCCACCTCCGTCGCCACTGTTATAGATTGCGTCGTCTGCCTTAGTCGTCGACGCTGTTATAATTGAGGGAACGCCGCCTCTTGAGATAATTGCGTACTTGCCTGATAAGAGGGTCGCTGGCACGCCTACGATAATTGCTTGCTACGCTGACCACTCGAACGGAATTGCGCTGTCCTGATGACGCTGGCTTAGCCGGTGAGCCGGATAATTGAGCGAGCTTGCTAACGATCCTAGCCGCACGTGTTCGGATAGACGCCGAGCCTCGGACGGACGCAGACGAGAGGGGGTTTACGATAGACGCGCTCTAATGGCTTAGACGCGAAGGCTGGCCAGCTAACGATGCACACGCAATCACGCGATCCGACCGACTCCCAACTGAGGCGAAGAGAAAGAAAAGACAAGTGGTCCTCTGTAGGCTCTTTTACGACCGACAAAGGGCAATCACAGAGAGTGCTATGGGTTATTAAGTTAAGGAAAACTGTCACCACGAAGAGGTGGTAGTTTGTAAATGACCATTGTCAGAAGGTGCGCAGTTTGGGCCGCGTCTCGGAGTGGCTGAGCTCTGCTGCGTTGTGGGGAGGAATTGGCCCTCGCTTTCCACAGCCATTCTGCTGGGGTTTCTGGCGCGTTTTTGCGGGAATATTTGACGTGCCCGCAACAAAATCGCTCGCTCAAGTCCCAATCAACCGGGGAATAAGTGATGCGTAACGCAAATGAGGATGAAGGAGAACTAAAAAATGGAACCCAGTGAGTGGATGATACTCTTGGTTAATCCACTTTGGGAGATGGGTTTGATCGAAGTACCAAACTTTAGTTCTGGGTGAAAGTGTATGGCTCATCGGTGGTGTGTGTCGCAAAACTAGGTCCTACAGAGACACAGGGTTTATTGGACAAAGCAAGCTCAGCGATATTAATAACTAGGTCAGTTCTATAAGTAACGACACTGCTGTATGCATGAGATTCCTCCTTTAAACCAGTCAAATACTCATTCCAACACTGCCAATCAGCGAATAGGGGAAGAGGCGTAAGCGTCCAATCATTTGCGGCAAACTAGCCGCTTGCTTCGTCATGCATATCCGTACCGTTCGTCTCTTTGTATAATCCCACCACGGTGTGGAGTAAATAGAGGTTTGCTGATGAGAACTGAATCGGAGCATTTAATTCGGCATACTCACCCACAATCGAACGAGTGTGATTACCTCAGGAGCACGGCTATTGATTGAAGAGTAGTTGGAAAGTGTAGCGTAGATAAATGGACAACGGATCAATTATCATCACAGCGGTGGCCTATCATACTCTCCAGGAGACTATACCCACTATAGTGACGAGAATTGGTGATAACATGAAGAAAAGCAATTGAACCCAGTAAGGCGCTAGTTCGGAAGATCCTAGGTTAACAGGCCTATGAAAATGACTGTAAAGTAGTCCCCCAGAGATGCCGGAGAGAAAAGGTTTGCAAGTAGGAAGGAAATAAGGTGGCAAGAAATTACAAACAAATCATGTAAGAATGAGAGAAGAAACTTCGAATCCTACGTGTAAACAAAGATGCCGGGTAGGAGCGAGGAGAATGTAAAGGGAAAACTATTTGTAGAAAAGTCGACTCACCGTATTTGGTGTAGCTTGCACGTTTTCACAGGGAGCAAACAGTGAGCGCAGGAATTCAGTATACACATCATCATCATCTTCATTGTCCTCAATCCTATCTTCTTGATCGTTCAGACTTTCGTCCACTGAACGCGATAGGGGAGTGGAGGGGGTGCTTTTATCAGCATCTACCTCATGTTCTTCCAAATAGGCGCCATAATCGGACTCAGCGGTTAACGGAGTTCGCTGGACATCAGACCAATTCAGATGACCGGTAGAATGGCTTGCTTCTTGGACAGTGTGAGTAACCACGGCGGCAGAAGCCCACTTAGACGACTGATTGCAGAAATCACTTGCACCGGTAGGGCAATCAGGCACGGCCATGTTTACGCTAGAAATGGACTGGGTAGAGTTTTCAGTATGTGATGAATGGGAGACAGAAGAATCCAATCGACTCCGAGAAAGATTTGTGCAAGCACCTTCGAGAGCACGATCCCGCTCTAAGAGATACCAGTCCAAGGGGCCAGGTTGATAGTCCTCATCATGGTCCGCTGATTCACAACATGGTACTGCATTTCTGTCACTCTCATCTTCGTTGGGAAATTCCATTTCCAAAATAGTAGATGGTTTCCTACCAGACCCAGAAGCACCAGCGGGCAGATAATCGCGTAGAGAACGACGGATGGAGCGTGCCAGGGATCTGAAGAAAATAAATAAAGAGATAGATGGTATATTCCTCAGATGCGAGGCAAAGTCCAACTATGTGTCTGACCAAAGTGAACAATTTAAACAAGAAAATTTGCATTCGTCGTATAGTCCTGAATAGTCGTTTCGTCAATGTGGTATAATTTGTTCTACTGTAGATGGTAGGACAAAGCTTTAGGATACAATGGTCTGAGTTACTTAGTGGTGCACGCTTTTGAATGGAAAACAAACGAATTTTGTATGTGTAAGTAACCTCATGCTGTGCGCTTTGTCTGACCGGGTAAGTTACTAGATTTGACCGATCAAGTGACTTGAAAAAAACTGTAGCACATTTATTAAAGTCATCGGCGATAATGCAGATAAAGTATTCTAGTTTCGGCAGCAATACCAAAGAGAGTTGCTCAACTAAAAGCTGCAGCTCGGATGATTATGTAGCAGGCGCAGTGTAAAGGTTTCCGATAACGATGGATTGGAAGCCATTGAGAAATGTACGCTTGTATTCAAGTAAATGACAGATAATAGGAGTTGTAGAGTGAGTGAATAGTTGATTTATTGAGTGGCACCAGAGTTGGTTAATCTACGTGATGACGCCGCCACCACGATTTCTTGGCTTATCTGGGCGATCGGACCTAATCGCACGGTGTCCACTGATACTGACTCCATCTTCAATAGCAGGGTACAACTGGCTTTCGTGTAACGTAAAAATACCTGTGTTTATATATTCCTTTTGTTGTGTAAGAGCTGTGAGGTCAGTGACTTTTTCTAGCAATGAACGCACATTGCTGGAGAAGATGAGTGGTAATTGCATTGTCTGCAAACGGCATCGTCGGAGGTCAACTTTCCAGTCAGCGCGATGTTTCCTCATGTTGCCAAAATGTTTTCTCACAACCCGGTTAAGGGTTCTTAGTTTAATGACCGCAGTCGACGAAAGGCTTTTTACGTGGCGCACTTCGAAATGATTTCAAAAAACCAGCAGAGTAGGATGACATTGGTAGCTGGGATGTGATTCAGTTAAACAAAACTGGTAAAGTAAAACAACAAAGGTTATAGGTCTGCAGTAGATAGCGTAAAATAAACGATGTTCCAAGAGGCAACAGCAACGGCCAAGTTGAAGACCCCGTCGGTGATGTAATCCGGTGGCTCGCGTGGCTCCACCGTGAAAACCGAGACGAGATCGTGAGCTCTAACTGCTGAGGCGTTCAGTAAACAGTGTCCATAACGAACGATTACATCGAACACCCCATCGAAGAAAACAAGTACCCGGGTCATAAGCACAACAGCAGTCGCAAGCCAATCACTTATAAGCACTTCTATCAAATACGCTTCCGCATACTTTTATTCTCCTAGATGAGTTTGCCAGTAACCACGACATAAATGTCGGATCAATGTTTCCGAGCCAAAGGGAAGTGGGCTATCCGTCGTCCGTTGGCATAACACTTGAGAATTGTTGGTCACAGAGTAATTCAAATTAGTTGACCAGTGTCTGAAATCCCGGAGAGCCAAACATATGGTTCGTCATGTCGTTCGTTGGAATACAAATGGTCCGTTAGGAGTCGGTGTCTTTGAATGAGATCGGTAATCAGTCTCAGATGTGGGCTTGGCGCTGGCTCTATTTAACACACCGCAAGAGGCAGCAGACATGACAGAGCCGCTATCTTAACCAGCCAGCCTTTTAACCTTCTTTGCTGTCGAATCCTCTGCACCTTCAACATTCTCCAATTTTGCGATTTTCCCCACAACCAGTGGCAATGTAAGTTCAAGTCAAGTCAAAACAGAGTTTATGTACTCGAGTGGTTTCAGTTGCATCAATTGCATGCGCCATGTCCTGCCGTGCTATGTGCACAAGAATGGTATCTTTTTTTGCGCTCTTCGTTTCCTCAGATATACTTTGTGCCACACTGGACTTACACTTATTCGACTTAAATCGATGAGCTGTATCGTGTGAATTCAATCTATCCGAAAAGAGTTCAGTGCATCCGGAATGTCTTTCACCGACATCTACGCGCACAAACTTGCATTATTCCGGCTACTAACTTCACATTTGGCCTCTTTCGCTATAGTTAAACGATGTTCGGACGAGTCATAGTCCATTCTGATTCACCATCGGGACGGGCAACAGATCCAGCCAATCTCGCTTAAGGTTGTTCGTATGAGCCCGCTGCACGCAACTGGGCAGCCCATCCCACTGGTGAGTAGGACCAGTGTTCACAGCTGCACCTGTAACCTTGACTTAAAGGGATAGTAATCGAAATTGACGACCTGAGAGACAACCTATCAATTGGCAAACCGATCCACGTGCTTAGTCAATAATGATTCAAGCAAGTACGAGTTGATCTAAAGGAGATTTGTGGGTCTGCAGATTTTAGCAAACTGGTAAAGGTAGGACTGGCATGCCCACATTGTGTCCGCTGTTTCCAGTTGGAGTATGGCAGGGTAACAGCTCACCATCCTAAGTTTGGTTCCCTACCGCGTGTATGACTGTTCCAATAGTACATCGTGTTCTAAGACTATCGCAAAAGTACGACGGGTCAGTGGTTGCGACCGAAGTTAGAGTGAACGCAAAAATTGCCTCGTTAGTGGTAACAATAGCAGGGCTCGTGTAACACCAACCCTCTTCAACCCTGACTACAAAACGAAAGATAGGGGTCAGGTGTTTTCGTCCTGGAAACATCAAATCAATCCAACGGTACAACCGAACGCATCACGTCCAGTTCAAACTCCCCCATACTCCTAACAAGTGCAACAACCAAAACACTTTCGGCAACACCTACAATACCGATCAACAGGAAGAATCCGAACTCAGCTAAGCCTCGGGCCACATGCCTAATGGTTGCTGTTCAACATGTCCAAGCGTTGGCACCAGTGGTGGTAACCACTTCAAATGTAACAGACGAGAAAGTTAATGCGTTGCCAAGTACATCCGGTAACTCACCCACACCACCGGCCACCGCGTTCACAATGTAATAGAAGGCAAAACTAGTGAACTCTCACAGTTGCGTGTACCAACACTTCTAACTCAGAAACGCATTGATTAGGAGGCAGACAGGCGGACGACCTGAAACGGTGGAACGCCGCTTGTGACCAAATTGGTGTTCAGGCTAAACCCACTGGTATAATGCACGTTATTAGGTATTCAAGATCGATTCACTATGGTGAGCCCCGACTCCTTCGGATAACACTGGGATCACTGAACTATTATGAGGTCGTTTTTTTGCCGAGGCATCGTCATCGAAATGTGCCCACTAGTGTAGGCAACTTCCTACAGGTTACCTGGAGAGAACATCAACGGTATAAAAATGACCCGTATAAACGCCAAACGAGTAAACGCGAAAAAATATTCTGATGCATCGTGTAATCGATCTTTCAGCGGTAATGATAACGAAGCGGGAGTGCACAAACTTGAAGAGCGGAGATACATTTGTGAAATTCCGGCTATTGATGAGATTATAGTTCAGTCGGTATCAAGAGTACCAAATTCTCATCACTAAGGAAGTGACCCAAAGCCAGTGAAAGTCGTAGTTCAATTCCGACAAATGATTCCGAACGTGGTGCATAGATGACGTGAGCTACATAGAACGCTAACTTCAGAACAGCGGTTGAAGACGTCCACCAGACAACTTCGCTGACAAACCAATACACCACCGAGAACCCATCCTATTCACCACAATAGATCATAAACCCATTTATCCAAAACCCTCAGAAACCGATATGACTGCCGTTGGGTAGCAAACACCCTTAGCAGAGGTTTGTGTCAAATTGTGCACCTTCAGCTGCTTCAAAAAAGGATTAGCCGCCGACCCTACACATCTGTCGGCGTACATTCAATCGCTTCATCCACCAAACTTCTGGTCTCCGAGACGCTCTTCCGAATGTACGCAAACGTTCAACGCTTAGCTAATTAGCCGAATTGCGACTTAGACATGTATCAAAAGCTTAGGGTTTCATTGCTATCACGGAAACATGTTTGTGCTGCGAGCTAACAGATGCGGAAACTGTGACAGGTGGTAGGTCCATTTTCCGGAATGATCAAGCTAACAAACCTGATTGAGTAGCACCGTATTCTCCCAATGATCTCCAGTGCGAACTCATTCAGGATTCGGAAACCTGAGCGCCAGATTCCATTTGGTGTCGCCTAAGATTGTGAGGAAACGACATTTGTATCGCGGACGTTTACCGTCCCCATGTTCAACCTGGTGGCTGCTTTGAGCAAAAGGATAAACAGATAGCACAGCAGCGACATGTCGGGCGGCGGCATCGTATTCGTCAGTGATCTATATTACTAGGTAAGCTCCATGGTATAGTTCAACAGACTACGCGAATCTGCCTCCATCTTTGTCTACCTAGTTTCTGCCCCTATCTCGATCTACCGCCCAAGATTGGCACACAAGCTTTGAAGACATTGTATCGCAAGATAAATGTTCAGACCATTAATGGCTGCATCCACATTAGTCTTACGTACATGTGTGCCAGATGTAGCCATTTCGTGGGGATTTTTGAGAGATTTGTGTTGTTGATACGTATCTGTGCAGTAATCGCAAATTGCTAAGTGTTATCCAGTTCTGTCTGAATCGTTTTGAGCTTGGTGGATACACGTTGATAAAAGCATCTAAGCACTTTGCCGCTTAAAGTATCCAAAAACAATGCTTCCTCGCCTTGTAAAATTTGCGATCTGGAGTACATGGCCACGTTGAATCATGCATCCCAAGAAAAATCACTCTGGAAAATCCGTCTAAAGTAAACAACCTCCATAATCAGCTAGCAATTAGTATAATGTAGATGCTTCATGCACTGGTTCGCAGGTTAGTCCGGAGAGTAAGCACAGGCATATTTACGGTTGTTTGTCCGACGAACTAATCTTATGAAAAGGCAGATACTATCGGGGTTAGAGGCGGGCATACAGATGCACCGGTTGGAAGTGGAGGTGGAAATGGCCAATGTTCGGGTAGACTAAGAAGTAGATCAGCTCAACTGTGATGGTACATGTTAATGCTTGGA